AATTTTCTCATAAGCTGTTATAAGAATTTTCTCATAAGCTATTTAATATCTCCTTCTTAATTGGAATTTTTCCTGACATTTTGAAATTATTTTGTGTCATTCCAGTATATAAAAATGGCTTAAAACTCTCATGTACTAACTATAGACCAATTTCAATTCTTTCTAACATTAGCAAGCTTCTTGAAAAACTAATGTACTCTAGAGTATATTCATTTTTTAATTCTTTCAACTGTTTAAATGAATTTCAGTTTGGATTTCGATCAAAACACTCTACTTGCCACGCTTTAATAAGTATAACTGGAAGAAAAAAAAAAAGGCACTGGATACTGGTCATTTTGTAGGTGGTGTTTTTATCGACTTACAAAAAGCGTTCAATACCGTTAATCATACCATTTTAATTTCTAAACTTGAGCATTACGGAATCCGAGGAGTTGCTTGTAACTGGTTTCAATCTTATCTTTCAAATCGAAAGCAATTTGTTAGCATTAATGGTTACAAATTAAATAACAAACATATAGTTTGTGGTGTTCCCCAGGGTTCTGTTCTTGGTCCTTTATTGTTTTTGATTTATATTAATGATCTAAATAACTTTGTCCACTTCTCATCGGTCCACCTGTTTGCTTATGATACTAATATCTTGCATATTAACAAGTCTCGTCATTTATTGTTTAAGAATATAAACTTAGTTTTTAAAGATTTAGTTCATTGGCTAAATACAAACTTAATTTTTCTTAACTTGGAAAGATTCAGAGAAACTAAGACAAAAAATTTTATACAACAATCATAAAACTAAAATTAAAATTAATAGTAGATGTTTATATCCAACACACGTTATTAAATATTTTGGTATTTTTATAGGTTCGAACCTTTCATGGAATTTTCATATAGATGCACTCCGTCAAAAAATTTAATCGAGCTAATGGCATGCTTTCAATATTTTGCCATTATGTTGATAAAAATACCTTTAAGAATCTGCATTTTGTAATTTTTCAATCTCATTTCAACTACTGTTGTCAAGTTTGGGGACAAATTGCCAACTGTAATATTAATAAACTGTTATCAGCTCAGCGCCAATCAATCCCAATAATTAATTTTCAACTCCATAATACAGAAACTTTAAAAATCTTCAAAAAACTTAAAATTTGTTAATCTTCTTTTTGTTTTTGACTCACTTAATAAAAATTTACGTTCCTCTATTACAACCTTCTTCACTGAAACTCGATTTAAACATTCACATTCATTTAGAAACAGCAATAATGGAAAACTAAATGTACCTCTCTATAAAACTTTGAGGTATGGTAAGTATTCAATTTGTGCATCAATGAATGGAATCTAAGTCTTGTGTGCATTGTGAATGAGTTTGAAAAGTTAAAACTTCAAAATAATTTATCTTCGTTTCTTTATTTAAAAAAAAAATAAATTTAAACAAATTCTAAAAAAAAATTAATTTTAACTTTTTATCATTATTAACTTCCTTTAGTTTTCTTCTTTCTTTCTTTTTTTTTCTTACTATTTCTATAGAAACTTTATTGTTTTTGTCATTAATACTTATTACTTTTATTACTGCTGTTTTTATTATTACTATTATTATTACAATTATTATAAATACTATTATTTTTGCTGTTACTTTTGCTCTATTAATGAATAAAGTTATTATTGTTATTATTATTATTTTTTAAATTAATATTTTTAATATAGTTATTTGGTGTCACTCCTTTGATGAGGATTCTACATGGGTGACTCCTTCCTCAATCAATTATTTATATTTATTCTTAATAATTATATTTTAATTTTATTATTTATAATATTATAGATATTCTTATTCTAACTATTTTTATTATTATTGTTATTATTGCTTTTTTTGTTATTATTTTGATTATTAATATAATTATTATTGTTGTTGTTATTATTGTTATAATTAATATTAATATATTATTGTTATTATATGATTGTAAATTTTGAGGAAAATTAATGTCTTGATGTTGTTGTTGTTGTTGTTAACTGTTTCTTTTCTTGTTTACAGTCTAATATCGTGTCTTTGCTCCCCAAAGTCATAAGGCGACTGGACCTTTGGTCTTTTAAAAATTTGATATCAGCATAATATGAAAGTTTATGAAGGCTCTTTTTTTTAAGATTTCTTTAATATTATCTTTACCAATCAAAAAAACATACTTATCTTTTTAAATTCTTCCCTATATTTCTCTGCTGCTTTAGAGTCCTTACTCATACTTTTCTTTAATGTCTGCCAACTATCGATTAAAGTGATATTATCGCTGCAAAAATTATGATAACACATTAAATGAAGTTTAAATATTAATGACATATTTATAACAATTCATCGTGTTATATATTTGTTTTATTGTTCGATAGTAAGAAATTTTATTTAATCAATAGTTAATCAGACCACCTTATAGTTATTATATTATTTAGCTATAAACCCATACGTAATAGCAATTAAAAAAATTATTTCGAGTGGTATTAAAAAAAACCTTAATCATCTACTACTAAGTTCAAAGGATTTTAAAAATTTATTTTTACTATTTTATTAAAAATTGAAATTATAAAACTTACCTCATAGATTTATCCGTTAATAATCCATCTTTGTAACCTTCGTCTAACCTAGATTTTTTTTACTACAAAAAGAATACAGTTGTCAGGGCAATTGACAAGACCGGAGCACTTATTGAATTTATCAGGCCCATCAGTACAACCATTAATCTTTTTGGATGGAGTTAACTTATTATATTTTGAACCATTGAATGACTCGCAATTTATTTAAAATTTCTCTTTTGTTTTGCATTTTTTATACTTTTAGTTAAAAAATTGTTAACATTGCTTCGTTATAAAAAAAATTTTTAGACACTAAAAAACTCTTTTGAATAAAATATCTATTGGAAAATGCATACTTGTTCATCATAATAGTAGAAGAAGTTCTGCTAACAAAAACAACTCTATGTATCATACCACCTTCCTAAAGATTGCAATCATCAATAAACGTTTTAATGGTAAAATAAAAATATTTTCTTGGTAACAAGAAAGCTGAGAAGAAATAAACTTTTTCTGAAGTCAATACATTACAATTTACAAATATAACTTGTCAATGTCTACAACGGGGGTAAATGAATTTAAAAAAGGATTAAAAAGCTGCAATATTCTTGTTGAAGAGTAAAAACAAAAAAATCAAACTTTTCAATAGTTTTTGATCTGATGAAATATTAAATTTAAAGGAGTTTAAAAAAAGTTTAATGAAGAAAGTTTAATAAAGATTTTTATACACCAGCAGAAGTTTATTGTAAAATGTTGGATTTGTGCAGGAGTAACTCCGGCTACAAAACAAAGTCTTTGAAATAAAAAAGTTTCTGATAATTTGATATGATAATTTAAACAAGAATTTAAATAAACAGAGGAAGAGGCCAAAGAAGAGCTAGCTGAAGTTGGTTGTGCTAGAAACTAAACTAGAAGAGGTTTATTGTAAAATGTTAAGTAGGGTGTTACACAATAAAGTCTTTAAAAAATTGTTAAAGAACTTTATATAAACATCTATTTTTTCATTGCTTATAATTTTTGTATACTGAAAGTCTCTTTATTATTTTTGGTTCAACTTTATTCGTAATAATTTTATAAAAACATCTATTTTGTATTTATTATTTATAAAAACATATTTCTCTCAAAAAGATTAAATGTTTTAAAGCTACATTTTTTCAATGATTAAAAAAAAAAATAGCAAAAATAATCCAATTGAGATCATTTCTGCTGCTGCAAAGATCTGAAAAGTGACTTAAGATCTCAAAAAAAAAAAAAAAAAAAAAAAAAACACTTTATTAAACTATCTTAACTATACAGACTTTGCGAATACTATATGTGATGAAATTTCAAAGATCGTATGGATCAGGAAATTTCAAGGATCAAATTTCAGGAAAAGGATTGTATGGATCAGGAGAAGGATCGTATGGATCAGGAAAAGGATCGTATGGATCAGGAAAAGGATCGTATGGATCAGGAAAAGGATTGTATGGATCAGGAAATATTCAGAATTATTAAAGCACAAGTTTCAACTCAAAGTTACAAAATAATTGTAAATGACATTGTTAAAATCTGCGAAACTAATTTCTATAAACTTGATGAACATTCAAAAACTTTGAACAATTCTTTAAAACATTTTATTGAAACTTTTTTATCAATGATGTTGAATATATAAGCTTACTTAAAAAATATAAGCTTACTAAAAAAACTTATATTGGTAGAAAGAACTACAAATTGGCTGTTGCAAATTTATCTTGTTCAAAAAGTGCTAAACCTTACTGTTATAACTAAATAAATCTACAGAAAGTTAAGATAATGCGTATAAAAATAATGACTGTTTGGCAAATAGAAAAGAATTTACAGATCGCAGTGATAACTTTGTGATTATTTGAACAAAATAGAAAAATTTGCATAAAATTCATCTTTATTGAAATTTTAATCCCGTTTTCAAAACGGAACAGAAGTAGAAGATTCATAATTTAGTTCTGATTTTTAATTTTTAATTTTTTTGTTGCAATCTTAATCTAGCTAAATCTCTTTATTTTTATAATTTTTTAAAATCTTTATTTTTATAATTTTTTTAAAGCTTTATTTTTATAATTTTTTTAAAGCTTTATTTTTATAATTTTTTTAAAGCTTTATTTTTATAATTTTTAAAAATTATTTTTTTTTTTAACGGTGTTTGTAACTATTATTTAGTAACGAAAGAGCTTTTTTTAGTTCACCAACTTTTTTGAACGTTAGGTTCACTAACTTTTTTAAACGTCAGTTCAATAACTTTTTTAAAGGTTAGTTCACTAACTTTTTTTAAACGTCAGTTCACTAACTTTTTTAAACACTTTAAACGTCAGTTCACTATCTTTCTTAAATGTCAGTTCACTAACTTTTTTAAAGTTTTATTATTGCAACGATTTAAATAAATCAATACTATTCAACTAATTACAATTTATTCTTATATAACATTCAATTTATTTCTC